CGGATTGCAGAGGGACACTAGGAAGTTTTTGAGAGGATGGGAATATTTGTTATCTTGATCATGATAATAGTTTCACATTTAAAAAATTACATCACAAAGTACTATTCCATACTGTCTTCACAAAGTGCGTTTTACATATATACAGTTTACTGTATATAAATTAGAAAAAGAAAAATAAGTCATGTTGATTCAGTCTAATGCTGATGACCCTCCAGAGGTTCCCATTTCTTTCAGAGTGAATGCTCACATTTTGTAAATGCTACATAATGGATTAGAAAGTCCTGTACTATTTATTTTTATTTTTATTTTTATATCATCTCCTTTGATGCTCACCCCCTGCTCCTTCTGCTCCCCAAACTGATATCCCTCCTGTTTCTAAAACATGTAGGTATGCTCCCACCTCTGGATTGTTGCACTGGTTATTCCCTCTGCCTGGAGTGCTTTTCTTCCACATACTCTCAGATGTTGCTCTTGTTGCGCTTTCAGCTACATTGACCAGCCCTCTCTCAGGACTCCTGATTGCTGTCATCTTACCCTAGCAATTAAGTTATTTACTCTGTGTATTGTTTATTCTGTTCTCATCACTAGACTTGAGCTTCACCGGTAGGTTTTTCGTTTGTTTGTTTTTTTTGTTTAGTTTACTGATGCTTGTGCCTGACACAAATTGGCACTCAAAAAATTTGTTGTTAGTATTTATTTTTCAATGTTTTTTCTGCAGCTGTTTTTTTAAGTTTAGCACTTTTATATTTTCATCTAGGATTTTTAACTTTCATACTTATTTTGCCAAAGTCTGAAGTTAATTTATATTGTACCCTTTCTTATATGAGAACTTTAGGATGCTTTAATTCCTTGTACTTTCTTATACCTCCTCCTAACTCATGGTGTTACTGTTATGTTTAAAGATTTTTTTTTCTTGACCTGGCAATTTGTTAGTATTGTTTTATACAATCAGTGTTCATTTAGATGACACCATATATAGTTCTTTGGGCCTTTCATTCCTTCTTGAAATTCAAATATGCCATCTGGGATCACTTATCTTCTGTCTGAAGGAAGTATTTTAGTATTAGGGAAGTCCATGGTAACATACTTGAAGTTTTCATTTGTCTAAAAATGTCTTTACTTTGTTGCCAATTTTAAGATACTTTTGCTTACTACAGAGTTTTAGGTTGACAGGTATTTTTCTCTCAATATATTAAAGAAATCACTCTGATATTCTGGTTTTCATTATTGCTGTTAGAAAGTCAGCTGTCAACCTAACTACTGTTCTTTTCTCTCTGGCTATTCTTTTTTTTTTTTCTCTTTATGCTAAAATATTTAATTAATGGCATCCTAGAGCTTTTATTATCTGTTACAAACACTCTTCCACATCCATTGAAAATTAGAATACATCCATTATCATAGGCCAGTTAGCTATTGCATATTTGTTTCATATTCTTAACATTAGTCCACTTGAACCAGTCAGCATTTCAAACTGGCTATTCTTTAGATATTTTCTTCATCTTTGATGTCCTTTAGTTTCAGTATGAGTTTGCCTACCTAAGGACTTGTTTGTTCTGATTGGAGCTCATTGGGCTTCTTGGTTTGGTGGATTTGTTCTAGAAATCTTTTCATATCACTTCCATTTCCCACTGTTTTTTTCTTCTTAGAGTGTCTACTCTACTACAGACATTCTTCAGCATTTTTTATTTCTTCAAGCATACGTCATCTGATAATTCCAAAGTCTGAAATCTTAGCAGTTGTCCTCTTGCAATTAAATATTTCTCTTTTTTTTTTGATGAGTTATTCATTCTACTTAGAAAGTTCATTGTGAAAGTTCTTTGAGGTTTAGGATTAAGGTAGTGTGTTCCTCCAGAGAGAACTTGATTGTCTGCAACATTAAAGGCTCTGTGTTTGAGACCATTTCAATCTAAATCCCCAGCTTCATTAATTTCCTTTGGACTCTTAAGAAATGTGAATTTGGGCTGCAAATTTACTTGATAGCTTGCTTTGATTATAACACATTAGGAACTTTTTTGTCCCTTCTCTGCCAGTCATGAAGGCAACTTTCCTTACATTCTTCTGAGGGTAGGAGGAGTGGGTACATGGGATAGGTTATTTTAGGCTTACACTTTTAGATTAATGCTCTGAAGGTCTCCTACTGACTTCCTTGGGCTAACCTGGAATTTGCAATCCTGTCAACTGAGATTTTTTAAAAGATTTTTTTGATTCTTTCATTTGTTATTTTCTGCAGTTTAAGGTTGGTCTATATTATTTAGTCTGCTAGTGTACCCACATTAAAAAAAAACAATTGTAATTGTGCTATTTTTTCATAGTATGCTTTGTGATTTAAATGGCTGTGTATTTTGTCTTTTGTCTATTGGCTCATTTAATCATTTTCTAATTTGTACATTAAGCTTATTTCTTAGGGTTTTGCTATTATAAATAACAAACTGATTCCTTAGGTAAAAATGTTATCTATTAATTTATATTGCCTTAATTGGTATTGTGGCGGTGCATTTTCCAAGTGTAAAATACCTATTCTTAGTTATTCAAATCTTAAACCTTTTTCTTACGGATTTGAATAATTTTTCATAAAGATACTGACCCACTCTCTAACACCTTACTTTGTTAAAATGTTTCTGTTTCTGCTTTTTGGAAGATTGTAAATTTATGGAAACTTTATAAATGATTCTTTTACCAAATTTTAACAAATGTGTTCTTATTAATTATATTTTACTTACTTGGAAACAATTATTTAAAATTTGGCCCTGTTAACTTCTTGCCAGTTCTTGTAATTATTATTTATTGCTATTTAATGTTCTATGATAGTTATCTCAAAATTTCTCCTCATTTCTCTAAAACCTACTGCTTGTCTTCTGCCTCACACACCCTCCCATAGCCATCTGTATTAGTTTCTTTGTGTTTAAAAAGTACTTCCTTTGCCCTCCCCCCAAATCTCAGTGGTTTAAAGCAATTAACATTTATTTTTGTCACACAACTGACACTTAAGCAGCTGTGAATCAGTTTTTGCAACCCTTCTTCACATATCTTTGTGCTCTGGGGCCCTGGCTGAGGGTGTCACTCCATTTAAGACATGACATTCTTGTGGCAGGGGGTGAAAAATAAGGAAGCTGGTATAAACGCATAATGCCTCTGAAAGCTTCTGCATAGAAGCAGTGTATGTCATGTCTATATCCTGACACATGGTCAAGCACAGTGGGAATTGCATAGAAATGTATGTGTCTCCTATAGGAGGCACATGACTGGACGGAGTTAATCTGGAAGGGTCAAATAAATACTTGGCAACAATAATGCAATCCGCCGTGTCTCTTCTTACTTTTAACTTTCTGGCATGAATTTTGTAGTGACTCATGTCCATGTGAAGTCTTGTCAAGTCTTCCTTTATGGCTTAAATATAGTAATTTCTATTGTAAAGATGAGTTGTCTTACCTATGATTTTGAATCTACTTGAATATAAGCAAGGTCAGAGATTCTTGTCTGTTTTGTTCAGTGTTTTCTCAGCACTAGAATAATGCTTGGCTCATAATTTCCTTTCAATAAAGTGTGTTTCCCATCTTAGTTGATCAGTTACTGTGTCAGTTACTCTGATTTTCTGTATCTTATTGTCAGTTCTCTCTGCTAGCATTATCCCCAAAGTCTTTTAGTGACTATATTTCCTCGAATTATTTTAATAAATCAGTTAACTATTTAACAAATTATGTTAATAATTCTAATACTAAATAATTTAATGAAGAGGGCAAATTTAAATGAGTTTTTAACTCCTGGAAAATAAAGCCCACATACTTCTCTTCCTATACTCTCATCACCCATGTCATTTTTTTAAAAAAAGACCTCCCTTTAACTCCTGAAATCTAACTTGCTATTGCTCTATAACTATTCTTTACCTTTTACATTTCTCATTGTCTTTGACCATCGTTGAGCCCCCTCCCCTAAAAAAACTGTTTCTCTAGATCCTAAGGGACTATAATTCACTGGGGTGGTTGGTTGGTTTGTTTTCTATTTCTAGGGCTCTTCTCTTTTTCTCTTTCCTTATAATGTTCCTCTTCCTTCTTCCACTTTTAAATGTACTGATACTCCCAGTTTCTGTTTTTAGCTCTCATTTCTTGCCTTGTGCTCTCTTTAGTGGAGCTCCCATTCATACAGCTTTCATATTTATTTCTTCATAGATGGTTTACAGATGTGTGTCTTATAAGTTATTGTGATTTTTTTGCCCCCACATTTCCACTTGTGGCATTTCCATTTGAGTGTCTTAACCTTCACCTCAACCTCAACATGTCCAAAATTGAACTGTTTTCCTACTAAGTGACTCCTCCCTTGGAAACTACCTCCTGTTTTTGTAGATAGTACACCTGGCATCTAAAAAGAACAAGGAGGAGTATCAGCATTTGTGTTACACCTAGTGCACACTAAGTACTGTGCTGCTCAATTAATTACACAGTGTCTGGCCCAGGTTTTACCTTTGGAGAAACCTTTTCCAAAATATCACAGGGAATCCTCTGTGATTCTTCTTGGGCCACTAGCAATACATTTGTATTTAAACCACTAGATGCTCAGCATATGAATCTCCTACAATTCATATTTTTAGTTTTGTAAGCCTCCCAAAGGCAAAGATTTTTATTTCATAATTTTTACCAGCACAGTACCCTATAGGTACGGTACAATTTAATAACTGCTCAGTGATTTTCCATTGGAAACAATGCCCCAAATTAGGGCAAGAATCTCAACCTAAATAACAAAACTAAATAAACTAAAACTAAATAACAAACCAAAAACTTAAAACTAAATAACCAAATTATTGAACCTTGAACCCCGTTGTACAGGGTTAGTCCCTGAAAGTGGCAGAGGCTCTTATACATGAAGGATCACTTGTTGAACACATATTTACTGCATAACAGAATCTCCTTACCAATAATATACCTTCATATAGCCATTTTTATATTGCTTTGCTAAACATATTTATAGAAGATAATATATTTATTTTATTTTCTCTTCCCCATTAGGTGCACCAGGCATAATTTCCTCACCATATGCAGGGGCTGCTGGATTTGCCCCAGCCATTGGATTTCCTCAAGCTACAGGTGACTTTTTTTTTTTAAGTTGAATTTGAAATGGTTTTTTAAGGATGTCCTTTATTTTCTAGGAATTTACCAAGTTGAAAAATACTAGCATATTTGAAGGATTCACAGTAAAAGCAGTATAGATACATCAACCATAGAAGTGGCTCATTGTATGATACTCAGCTTCCTTGTCCTTACCAATAATTGTGGCTGTTCTCAATCCCCAAGTTCCACATCTTTTATACTATCCATTGGTACAGATAACTATAGGTTGACTATATTTAATAACCTTATATTTGCCCTTTTGGTTATTATATAAAATATATGGGCTTCATAAAGGATGTTTTTGCTGATGAGCTTATTAGTTACATGTTGAACAGACCTGTGTCTTATTTGTCTTTGTGTTCTCAATGCCTTTGATGGATACATGCAGTCAGTAAATATTTTAATTAATAAACATTCACTGTTCAACTTATTCATAAAGCCCTTTCCTTCTTTCCTTCTTCTGTCCTTTCAGAATATTACCTCTCCTCTCTGTGATGGAGAGGGTTACATTAACTAAAAAGGAAAGAATGATAGGGTTGAGGTTTAAGTTTTAGGGTTTTCATGGTTTTATGACATCTTAACATATATTTAATTAAGTGAATATTCTATCTGTTCCATTAAAATGAAGGCATTATACATTGTTTTTACTTATTTGATGGTCCTGAAAATTCAATTGATATACATTTGGAAGGGGATGATACATAGTTTCCCTTATTTTAGATACTTCTTTTGACGCATTATATGTGTGAAAAACACTAGTAGATAGAAAAAATGTGTAAAGAGGACTCCTGAGTTTATAAGACTTTTAAGATTTAGTAGGGGGATATATACACACATAAGTTGTACTGTTGGTGGTATATAATACTTACGAAAGTTACTCAAAAGTTGCAGATTCGGATTGGAGGGGCATAGGAAGAAGTCATGTGAGAGACTATTGAGTATAGATTTCATGGAAAAGTATCCAGCCTGAGAAAGCAGTCTGCACAGTTTTAAAACTGAGTAGAATGAGTAGTAATGACCTCCTTAGACTGTCAAACAGAACAGTCTGCATATAAACTATATTGCAGTTTAATTACATGATTTTTGGTAAAGTGACCAGATGCTGCTATATATTATAAGAAATTTTGAGCTTAAAAAAACAATAAATTAAAGAACTAGTTCATGTTACATAAACTATAGAGATTTTACCTTAGATAAATTATAAGCTGAGAACACAAATTGTGGGAACTTTTGAGATAGTGTGCTTTTTAAAGTATAGTATATAGTGTCAATACTTAAGTATTGCAGAACTTTCAGTAGTTCTGGAATGAGTATGGGAAGGAGAGCTATGAAAAATCTTGCTGTAAAAGAATATTGAATTCTATAAATCTTTTGATTGTAATAATGTTTATATAGCACTTTACAAGGCTACAAAATGCTTTTCCAATAAATAATATTATATATTCTACATATGTACAATCACCTGATTTTTATTAATTTACAGTTTTGCAGCCATTACCACAGTCCAGTTTTAGAACATATAGTACCACCAACTATGCATATTTGTGACTTCTGCCTGGAAGAATTTTTTTTTTCTGGTATCTCTGATTTTATGGTAAAAGTCAAATGAAAATTGCATTTACCTTGTAGAAATGTGCTGGACTATATCTATTTTAAGAAACAGTGCTTATAGTTGATAGAACCTCCAAAAAAAAAAGCCTAATAGCTTTTAAGACCAGTGAATTTGGTTGCAAGTATTGTATAGATAATAGAGTACTGAATATGAGAATGTCAAAGAATAAGTACCTCAACTTCCAGACAGAGTCTGTAGGGCAGAAAACTGGCCTTTGATAGCCTTATGGTAAATTTGACACATTTTCTTCTGTATTTTTGCTTTTGTCTTTGTTTATTTACATAAATTATATCAAGTATTGTAATTCTGTAGATTACTAGACAATGAAGTGCTTTTGATGTTTTAAAAAGGTCTATCAGTCCCAGCTGTTCCTGGAGCTCTAGGTCCTCTCACAATCACCTCCTCTGCTGTCACTGGAAGGATGGCCATTCCTGGGGCTAGTGGTATACCAGGAAATTCTGTTCTACTCGTCACCAATCTCAATCCTGATGTGAGTTGAAAAGTATTACATGTAAATAGTCTTTCAGGAGGAGGTATAGTAACTTCTGATCTAGGGTCATATTCAAATAAAAATGTTTTAAGTTTGTTTTAAGGACCTTTATTAAAATTCATCACTAGTATATATATATGTGTGTGTATATATATATATATAGAGAGAGAGAAGAAGTATATAAAGTCAATGCTTTAAACAAAGTCAAATGTTATTGTTACAAGTAAAACTTAAAATTTTTACCTCAATTAGACATTTATATTTTGTGTTATCCTTTTCAAACAGCTTATCACACCACATGGGCTTTTTATCTTATTTGGTAAGTTCCTTTTTGCTGTTCTTAATATTTTCTATGATGTGAATTGAACACTATTTCATAATTCAGTAATATTTATTATATGCCAAGTAGTGTGCTGACACTGAGGATAGAGTAGCAAATAAGATTTAGGAAGTAATTTCAATTACAATAAAGTTCTATTAAAAGGGAGTAGAGATTGTAATAGGAGCATATAGCTGGGAGAGTGAACTAGCTGAGGAAATCAAAGATGATGTACCAATAGAAATGATAGTTAAGCTGACTTTTGAAAAATGAGCAAAGCATTAGCCAGGCAGAAGGAAAGGGCAGTGTCCTTTCATAGATACTAACAGTGAGAGAGAACTACTGGAACATGGAAGCAAAGGAAGTCCAATGGAGAGCATAAGGGAGAGACATGTTGAAGCTGGACGAGGGAGAGGGGCAAGGTCTCAAAGAACTTGGTAAGCTAAGTTAAAGGAGCTTGGTTTTTAAACTAAGAACAATGGGAAACCATTGAATAGGTTTAACAGGAGACAGGCTAATGAGATTCAGGTTTTTAAAATAGTCTCTAAACTTTCTAACAGTGTTCCTCACTCAGGTAAAAAAAAGGAGCACGTTTTCCAAGTGGGTTCATTGAATATGATTCATTATTCAAAGATTTCATCCACCTTTTAGTGTATTCACTGTATTTAGTGTAATATGTACAAATATAAGAACAATAAAATAAGCAGTATTTAATGAAGATTTTTTAATAAAAGTTTTTTCATAAATGCATTTAGTGAGAAATATGGTTTAATATGTTTCATTATTTTCAAAAATCTTAATTTTGATTAACTAGTCCAAGGTCTGATTCTAAATTCACTATATTTTAGTACTTGATCCTCTGTCATCCTTTCCTGTTGTCATAACTGGAAAAGATACTTCATAAAGATGTGTGATATAATGGAAGTGTTCAGTGTTGCTGTACCTGACTAATTTTGATACTAATTTTCCAGTGTAATCCACTAATTTTTGTTGTACTTTATCTGGAAATGTTCCATATTTCTCTTGTTAAGTGAGTTGATCTTGAAAACTGTTGCATTAGAATATTTTTTTAAATACCACCCTCAGCTTTAAGAACAAATTGTGTTATTTTTCTTTTAAAGAATATCTGCTTCAGCCACTTATAATTTCAGAGGAGGACAGCAAATTTGGAATACTTGTCTTTCTGTTTTAAACTTTAGAAGTCCTCTTTATCTTTAAGTTCAGTATTAGGTGCTTGCCCACAAGATCACCAGCACCCCTTTGGGTGCCTTGCAGATTTGCATAGGCATGCTCTTACCTCATTGCAAAGTATGGTAGTAATGTGATTAAAGGTCTCATTTTTATAATACTGGTGATACAGTGTAGCACATAAGCTGCAATATATGTTAATACACTGAATGAAAAAAATGAGAGAATGCCTTTCATCTTGCAGAAATTTCTGCCTATAGTTTCATCTGTATATTAAAAATCAGTAAAATATAAATTTTCAAAATGGTTTATATAAACAAATCAGCATAAATAGGGTTTATTTGCCTCTCATACACCAGTGAATCATTTTGTCTGTCCTTTGGGATGTGGGACTCACTTTGGGGAAGACTAGTGTAGAAAAATTGAATGTAATCAGATCACTTGGGAGGATTTTTGATAGTCCAGATGTGAAATGATGATGACAGTTTTGATGGTAGTGAGGATGGAAAGAAGTAAACAATTGTGAGAGAGATTTAGGCCCTGGAGTCAGTGAGTGCTGGTGACAGGTTGGCTGTTGGGAGTTTAAGGAGAGAGAATAGTCAAATGATGACTCCAGATGTCTGTCTGGAGCAAATATGTGGATGATCATAATATTTATCAACAGAGTTGATGAGCCCTGGAAGTGGTAAGATGAAAGGGGAGATGAATTTGTTTGGGACATGTTAAATTTGAAGTATTTATGGGACATGAAGTGAAAAAGGGTGAACAGATGAATAGATTTGGAACATAAAAAAGATATGAACTTAGAAGTAAATGTATGAAATTGCCTAGGGAACATATATAATATGAGAAAAGCCACCTTTAAATATGTTAGGAAAATTAATTAAATATTAAACACAGGCATTAAAAAACGTTTATCTTTTTTAATTAGGAGTATATGGTGATGTGCATCGAGTGAAGATTATGTTTAATAAGAAAGAAAATGCCTTGGTTCAGATGGCAGATGCAAATCAAGCTCAGCTAGGTATTAAAATTATTAATAATAATGATAAACTTATATGTGAATTTTCCTGTAAATTAAACAAACATAGCTAGTATGAATATAATTTTACTGGAGATTGCTTTCATTATTATTTGAACCCCCTTATATTTTGAGATAAAAAAAATACTTACTATTCTTTGAAGTCTGAAGTTGATTTATCTCCTTGAACATATTGGCGATGTTTAGAGCTTTGACTCTAGGGTTTTTCCATTAAGTTTAAACTAATAAACATGACTTATTTTGTTTCATTTTAGTTTACTTACTTGGTTGTTTGTTTCCCTTCCAAATTAAGTTTTCTAGACCTGTTGTATGACTTAAAAGTGGAGATGAACTTAATAATAATGGGGCAAGAAAATGTCTTTCCATGACCTTACTGTTCATTGTTAAAGTGACTGTTAAAATATTGCTTTCAGATTTGTTATAAAAATGCTTGCTCGAGATTAAACTAATTTATTGAATAACCATTTCCTGAGTGCTTGTTATGTTCCAAGTACTCTGGAGGTTCCTAGCACTCTGCTAGGAGATAGTTATTTCTTGTTTGATTGCTTTTCTTTCGTTACAGTAAAACAAAATCACTTAATACATTTCTATATGTAAAAGTCTTGGATTTAAAACCATTTTAACCCTCAAACTGACAGTATAATTTTAAGTGACTAAATAAAAGGAATGTGTGATAATTTAGACAAATTTTACAGAGACTCTACCTTGATAATCAAACTCTCCTGATTTTCTTCCTATACACCAGCAATGAACCATCTGAGCGGTCAGAGACTGTATGGGAAAGTGCTTCGAGCGACACTGTCCAAACATCAAGCAGTGCAGCTTCCTCGGGAGGGACAAGAAGATCAAGGTCTCACTAAGGATTTTAGCAATAGTCCTTTACATCGCTTTAAAAAGCCTGGTTCTAAAAACTTCCAGAATATTTTTCCACCATCAGCCACTCTGCATCTTTCCAACATCCCGTATGTACCTAATTATTATTCATTTAGATGATTAATAATGTATATACTATATGGTTTGTGAGGGTTAGAAACTCTGAAATTATTCTAATGTAGCAGTTGTCCTATTCACTAATTTCTTGTGATATGATTTATTTGCTGTCATGTCTTAAAAAGATTATATCTCAGTTATACACTTGAAAAGTGAAAGATAGCAAAGTTTTAGTTTTCTTTCCACATAAAAAATTAGCAATGCTTACCTTTCAGTTACTATGGGGCATAAAGTTTCTGCAGAAATACTTCATTGGTATATCCTTGTTCATCCTTTTGTATAAAAGTAAAGACTCTTAATTAACCAACTTAGCAAAATCAAATACTTTATGTTTTTAGGAATTTGTAAAAACGAATTCTCTTTTTTTATAAGCTGTAAAGCCTTTATATATATGTTAATTACTTAAAAGCTAAAAATTATTTTCTTATGACCATTTTATTTGTTCAGTCATATTCTAACTCTGGGATCAACAAACTACAGCCCATGGATTAAATCATCTGTTTCTGTGTGGCCTGTTGGCTGAGATTGATTTCTTACATTTTCAAATGGTTAGGAAAAAAGCAAAAAAATATTTTGTGATTTGATAAAATCATATAAAATTCAGATCTCCCCTTTCATAAATAAAGTTTCATGGGACACAACCACAATCAAATTCATTTATATATTATCTGTGGTTGCTTTTGAGCTACAGTAGCAAAGCTGAACAGTTGCAACAGAGACTGTGCAGCTGTCAAAACCCAGGTATTTAATGTGTGGCCTTTTATAGAAAACATCTGACAATACCTATTCTAGTTCTTGAAATCTTTGACCTACAAAGATGGCAATTTTGTTTAAATTAATCTAATACATGAGGGGAGATAAGCTTTGGGTAACAACTTTAGAGTATGGGGTTGTGTGTTCACTTAAAGACTGAGAACAGAGAAAGGTAAATAAAGTTCTGGAATAAAGAATTGGGGCTAAGATAGTTGACACTGTGATATTTTCACAGCCCTTCTGTTACAGTTGATGATCTGAAGAACCTTTTTACAGAAGCTGGATGTTCAGTGAAGGCTTTTAAATTCTTTCAGTAAGTCCATGCTTTCAAGAAATACATTAACAATATTTAATATGGCATGCAAATTTTTAAGGTAGTTCAATGATGGTTTTTACACAATATTAATTCTATATACTTCTTATATTTTTTATACTATTTTCAGGAAAGATCGCAAAATGGCACTCATTCAGTTAGGATCTGTGGAAGAAGCAATCCAGGCCCTCATTGAGCTTCATAACCATGACCTTGGAGAAAATCACCACCTCAGAGTTTCCTTTTCAAAATCTACAATCTAACTTTTCTGTGAATTTTTTCTCCTAAGACTGGACCATAATTTCAGTAAAACCTTCAGACGTAGACAAGCAGCTCAAGACCAATTCTGCCTCTTTCACAAAAATAACTTTCTGAGTTTGATATTCAAATATATTTAAGAAAATCAAGGGATGTTATTTTTTCCCATGTTTTCCCCCCTGCAAATATGTGATCAAAGGTTTGTTTATCCTTTGTACCATAGTTTCTATGAAAACAACTTTCAGGGAAAAAAAAATCAGGAAAAAATTTTTTCCCAATAATTTAGTTCCCTATATTAAATTGGGTTTCAAGAGGACAGACTTTCTTTTAGTTTGGGTCCAGATCAGTCTTATACAATATTTCTAAACTCCTTTGTACTTTGAAAAATTTAAGCATACATATACTTTTACAATTACTTGAGGTAAGTAATTTATATTACCTACAATCAAGTTTTTAACTTGATGATTCAGAAGTTCGACCCCTATAGGAAATTGTTCACTTATAAATTATATAGATTATTTGGCATATATTGATAGTTATTATACATAAACAAAAATTGGGGTATATTTGAAGCAAATTTATAAACTTGCATGTTTTCTTTGACTGATTCCTTTTTTTCTCTGTAAGACACCCCTTTGAATAATGCATATATTTAACTTCATAAGAATTTGTAGAAATGAAGTGTCTCAGCTGTCCCCAAGGAAATTAAGTGGAATCCAACAAGGATCTATTAAGTTGTCAGAATAATTAATAATTTTATTAGGAAAACTCATGTTTTAAATTTCAGAATGACACATTTGCTGAGTAATATAATGTCATCTTGAAAATTTAAAAAAAATCCTACTTATAAACTACTTTTTTATAATTGTTTTCAGAAAAAACGTTTACAGTCTTAAGGAAATATTCAGGTCTATCATATGGTTTGACAGATTTTTTAAAAGTTATTTTTGGTAAGGTCTTCTTTTAGAAAAAAAATAATCTCAAGGGTTTTTTGTACCACTATAATCTCTAATACTTATTCAGAATTACTGTGTATTTACTTAATTTCTTATTATGTGCCTTATTATGTGCTTATGATACAATAGGTTAGAGTTTTATCTAAGTATCTTGAAAGCTATATTGTGGGCTTGGTGAGCATTTTGTTTTTTCACTCCTTGTTTTGGTAAAGATTTTAAAGTTTTTTTCATTGCAATTTTAAGTGGTTTTCAATAAGTAATAGTTTCTATTTAAATTTTTGGTGCTTTGGTGCAGAGATGGGGTGGGGATGGGTAAATGGTTTGGAGAGTAACTCAGTACACACCTGTAGGCCTCTTCATGTGGTGACCAGTAGGTCATTGCCAGTTACAGTGTACCAATTTGGGGCTATACAATGCAGTCTCAGTTTCTGGATCTTGTTTGATCTCTATCACCCATTAGAATTTGTCTCAGGATTACTTGTTTTTTTCTCAGTACTCAAAAAAGAACTTGCTTTTCTTTGTTACTGTAGCTTCATTACTCAGTGCCCGTGGAGCTAGAGGATGAGAAGGTGGTTTTTTTCTCATACTCTGTCTCTTTCTTTTTGGTTGAATGTAAGAGTACACTTTAATGTTGTTTCAGTGGTTATAAAATGTAGAACTTTTTTTAATGAGAAACTTTACTTTCATTAATTACTCCATCAGTGTTTGATCAGATTTTTTAAAAGGAGTACTTGTCAAAAGGGTCATTTTTGTCCACCCCTTTTACACTTTTAAGATTCTCAGAGTGGCTCATCTCACCCTTTAAAAAGAATATTTCAATCTCTTTGATATATTTCAACCATGAATTTGAACACAGGTTTTTCCAAAAGAAATGTTAAAAAATTAGAGACGATAAAAGATAGTATAAATTGTTAAAAAGTAGATTCACTCAACACTGAACAACAGTTAGTTGGTTGAACTAAATGGAAACCTTCAGATGGATCAGTTTTAGCATTAGCTGAATAGAGAGGATTAATCATTTATCTAATTTGATTTTTTCCAAATATAAAGTATATTTTTACTGAAACACCAAGTGAGAAGGAAAATCAATTTCTTTGAGAAATCTCCCAAAATTTGCTTCTTTTTTTTCCTTGCATATAGGCACATTATAATTTTTAGTAGCGTGTTACATCAGATTATTTCATTTGAGGTAGGAATGACTGTAATTGTAATTCCTGATTCTTACAACATTCAGTGTAAGTGTAGCAAAAGTGTAGCAGAAAGGAGATCATAATGGGGTTGAATATAATTTTGAAGTAGGGAAAGGCCTTTAAATCTTAGAACATTTGAATCCTTTTCAGGGATTTGTGTATGTGTATAGATAAGTGTATATACATATGTACACTCCTCTAATGTACATATATATGCACATTACATACATTTTAATTTATCGATAAAATCAAATTAAGATTTGGAAAAGTGAGATGCTTGTTTAAAATAGTGTATTTGAAACCATCAATTTGTGTCTGAAATTAGCTGTAGCACATGGCTGTTGTCCATATTGGGCTATTTGCTGTTTGAATTACAGAGGTCTACAGTATTTGTTGGTATAGTTTCTGTAAAAATGTCAGGGGAGTAGAAAAACTAGATATTTGTATTTTTGTTTTGGCATGCATTTATTTGATATCTTCTAAGCAATGTTTTTTTTTGCTGTTTGAGCTGTCATAGTATCCTATTTTTAGGTTTATTTACTTTATTTTAAGGAATATTGTCTTGTCACTTTTAGAAGTGTCTTTGACTTTACACAAAGTATATATATTCAGGACTTTAAAAAATAGCAGTACACAGTTAACAATAGCAATTTATGCCAAAAAGTTTTACTTTGAGATTTAAATAACTTGCATAGCAGTAAAATGTGTTTTCTGTGAGATACAAATAGAAAATACCCAGTGTCTTAATTGATAACTTACTGGAGAGTATCAGAATTCCTCAGTAGCCCCTGGAGAATGCCATAAATTGTTTGTGTAAGACTAAATATTGTAATCTGTTAGTTACAGAAATGTTTCTGATTCTGTGTTGAAAGATACAGATCTCACAGTTTTTAGAGAGACAATTTCTGCCTGCCTAATTCCTTATGGGAGCAATTCCTCCTTTGGCTCCACCTAGGATGGTTGATCATAGGTTCTGTGTCAGTTGATAAAAAGTGTGCTCATGAATATCTGTTCAGTTTCATCAGACGTAGACAAGCAGCTCAAGACCAATTCTGCCTCTTTCACAAAAATAACTTTCTGAGTTTGATATTCAAATATATTTAAGAAAATCAAGGGATGTTATTTTTTCCCATGTTTTCCCCCCCTGCAAATATGTGATCAAAGGTTTGTTTATCCTTTGTACCATAGTTTCTATGAAAACAACTTTCAGGGAAAAAAAAATCAGGAAAAAATTTTTTCCCAATAATTTAGTTCCCTATATTAAATTGGGTTTCAAGAGGACAGACTTTCTTTTAGTTTGGGTCCAGATCAGTCTTATACAATATTTCTAAACTCCTTTGTACTTTGAAAAATTTAAGCATACATATACTTTTACAATTACTTGAGGTAAGTAATTTATATTACCTACAATCAAGTTTTTAACTTGATGATTCAGAAGTTCGACCCCTATAGGAAATTGTTCACTTATAAATTATATAGATTATTTGGCATATATTGATAGTTATTATACATAAACAAAAATTGGGGTATATTTGAAGCAAATTTATAAACTTGCATGTTTTCTTTGACTGATTCCTTTTTTTCTCTGTAAGACACCCCTTTGAATAATGCATATATTTAACTTCATAAGAATTTGTAGAAATGAAGTGTCTCAGCTGTCCCCAAGGAAATTAAGTGGAATCCAACAAGGATCTATTAAGTTGTCAGAATAATTAATAATTTTATTAGGAAAACTCATGTTTTAAATTTCAGAATGACACATTTGCTGAGTAATATAATGTCATCTTGAAAATTTAAAAAAAATCCTACTTATAAACTACTTTTTTATAATTGTTTTCAGAAAAAACGTTTACAGTCTTAAGGAAATATTCAGGTCTATCATATGGTTTGACAGATTTTTTAAAAGTTATTTTTGGTAAGGTCTTCTTTTAGAAAAAAAATAATCTCAAGGGTTTTTTGTACCACTATAATCTCTAATACTTATTCAGAATTACTGTGTATTTACTTAATTTCTTATTATGTGCCTTATTATGTGCTTATGATACAATAGGTTAGAGTTTTATCTAAGTATCTTGAAAGCTATATTGTGGGCTTGGTGAGCATTTTGTTTTTTCACTCCTTGTTTTGGTAAAGATTTTAAAGTTTTTTTCATTGCAATTTTAAGTGGTTTTCAATAAGTAATAGTTTCTATTTAAATTTTTGGTGCTTTGGTGCAGAGATGGGGTGGGGATGGGTAAATGGTTTGGAGAGTAACTCAGTACACACCTGTAGGCCTCTTCATGTGGTGACCAGTAGGTCATTGCCAGTTACAGTGTACCAATTTGGGGCTATACAATGCAGTCTCAGTTTCTGGATCTTGTTTGATCTCTATCACCCATTAGAATTTGTCTCAGGATTACTTGTTTTTTTCTCAGTACTCAAAAAAGAACTTGCTTTTCTTTGTTACTGTAGCTTCATTACTCAGTGCCCGTGGAGCTAGAGGATGAGAAGGTGGTTTTTTTCTCATACTCTGTCTCTTTCTTTTTGGTTGAATGTAAGAGTACACTTTAATGTTGTTTCAGTGGTTATAAAATGTAGAACTTTTTTTAATGAGAAACTTTACTTTCATTAATTACTCCATCAGTGTTTGATCAGATTTTTTAAAAGGAGTACTTGTCAAAAGGGTCATTTTTGTCCACCCCTTTTACACTTTTAAGATTCTCAGAGTGGCTCATCTCACCCTTTAAAAAGAATATTTCAATCTCTTTGATATATTTCAACCATGAATTTGAACACAGGTTTTTCCAAAAGAAATGTTAAAAAATTAGAGACGATAAAAGATAGTATAAATTGTTAAAAAGTAGATTCACTCAACACTGAACAACAGTTAGTTGGTTGAACTAAATGGAAACCTTCAGATGGATCAGTTTTAGCATTAGCTGAATAGAGAGGATTAATCATTTATCTAATTTGATTTTTTCCAAATATAAAGTATATTTTTACTGAAACACCAAGTGAGAAGGAAAATCAATTTCTTTGAGAAATCTCCCAAAATTTGCTTCTTTTTTTTCCTTGCATATAGGCACATTATAATTTTTAGTAGCGTGTTACATCAGATTATTTCATTTGAGGTAGGAATGACTGTAATTGTAATTCCTGATTCTTACAACATTCAGTGTAAGTGTAGCAAAAGTGTAGCAGAAAGGAGATCATAATGGGGTTGAATATAATTTTGAAGTAGGGAAAGGCCTTTAAATCTTAGAACATTTGAATCCTTTTCAGGGATTTGTGTATGTGTATAGATAAGTGTATATACATATGTACACTCCTCTAATGTACATATATATGCACATTACATACATTTTAATTTATCGATAAAATCAAATTAAGATTTGGAAAAGTGAGATGCTTGTTTAAAATAGTGTATTTGAAACCATCAATTTGTGTCTGAAATTAGCTGTAGCACATGGCTGTTGTCCATATTGGGCTATTTGCTGTTTGAATTACAGAGGTCTACAGTATTTGTTGGTATAGTTTCTGTAAAAATGTCAGGGGAGTAGAAAAACTAGATATTTGTATTTTTGTTTTGGCATGCATTTATTTGATATCTTCTAAGCAATGTTTTTTTTTGCTGTTTGAGCTGTCATAGTATCCTATTTTTAGGTTTATTTACTTTATTTTAAGGAATATTGTCTTGTCACTTTTAGAAGTGTCTTTGACTTTACACAAAGTATATATATTCAGGACTTTAAAAAATAGCAGTACACAGTTAACAATAGCAATTTATGCCAAAAAGTTTTACTTTGAGATTTAAATAACTTGCATAGCAGTAAAATGTGTTTTCTGTGAGATACAAATAGAAAATACCCAGTGTCTTAATTGATAACTTACTGGAGAGTATCAGAATTCCTCAGTAGCCCCTGGAGAATGCCATAAATTGTTTGTGTAAGACTAAATATTGTAATCTGTTAGTTACAGAAATGTTTCTGATTCTGTGTTGAAAGATACAGATCTCACAGTTTTTAGAGAGACAATTTCTGCCTGCCTAATTCCTTATGGGAGCAATTCCTCCTTTGGCTCCACCTAGGATGGTTGATCATAGGTTCTGTGTCAGTTGATAAAAAGTGTGCTCATGAATATCTGTTCAGTTTCATATAAACTTTTCAAAGCTTCAATGTCATTAGGCAGCAAAGTTTATACATTGAGTATATTATCATGCAGTTTCTCTTCTGTTTCCACATAATATTTTCAGACAAAAGATGATAAGCTCAAAAGTATGTGTTTTACCCTCTCTCACTTAAAAACCCTATGTTTGCCAAACTGTCAGCCTCTTTTATAAAACCTAATGTGTACTGCTATTTTTAAAACCAAAAAGGCAACATTACTATGCGTAAAAGCATTTTTCTTAGCCTTTCCTTTGTCTTGATCAGTTGGTAACAAGAATAAAACCACCAGACTTAAAATAGTCTACTATTGTGCTAGAAGAAATACAATTTAGATTGCACAAAACTTTTCCTTTAAAGAAAATATAACTCAGCTGTCTTTTAAAACAGCTGTGTTCTTATCTACAAGACTATTTGCAGTCTTTTTTCAGAGCAAATTCTAACCGTTGTGAATGACTTAAAATATAGGAAATTACTGAAATACTAGTTTTTGGTGTTTTATAGAGGGAGAGAAAACAGGACCAAAGTTTATGTGCCTTCTTCAGTAGTCTTAATTGACCTTTTCTTCCTATTTGAGACCAAGGTAGTAGTATCAGTATTCTGGTTTCAGGAAATATGTACTATGTAGTTTTAAAAGAATGTTATCCCATAGGCTATTCACACAAGCAGAAAATTGTAGCTGTATAAATGAAGTCTCAGTTACACTTTTGCCTTTATCACATATTCTTCATTATGTAACATGCAGGTCCAAGAGCAGAGCTGCTCTACATCTTTGTGGCAGTCATCTTAGTTTTTGTAACCTGAGGCATATGTTCCAGAGAACAGGGATATTTGTCTGGTCCAGTGACCTTGGTGATACTTGTCATGATTGAAAGCTGCTTATGGCAAGCTTAAGTCAACACTGTAAACAGGTTTTTGTTGTTATTTTCAGTTTTGGATCTATGTAGTAGTTGTAATAACAAATATTTAAATAGCTATTTTTGATGTCATTTAATAAAAATCATAACTCTGGCCTTTTTCCCCCCTTAGCATTATTACCCATATTTTTTAAGAATTCATCCCACATCCAGAAAATATTAATTGTAGGGATTGCTGACCAAGCAAAGTTTTGCATCAAAATGTCACCTCCTTGCTCTGACCAAAGACTGGCTGTTCTGGTTTTAACTCCTCTCTGTTCAGCATTCTTTCCCAAGCTCCTTTCTGAAAGAAGACCCAGTGCAAAGCAGCCTTTGCTTTCTATTTCCTATTGGTGAATAGACTACTTAGAGAAAATGGGGGTTTAAATGTGAACAGAATGGGTTTGATGGGCATTTTCAGTACTGTATTTAAGAAAAAAAAAATAGCACAGCTAGGAGCCTCTGACATTGTCTTGTGTTCTACATGGTCTGTTCATAAAATTCCCTTTTTCAGTTTGTAAGAATGTTCATCTAACAGAAGAAAATGCTGTAAATATTTGTAGCAACATTTTTTTTTTTAACCAGGCCAAAAAAAAAAAAAATGTTTTGGGGAACAAGTTAACATATAAAGTGGTTTTATATAAAATGTCAATTGTCTTGTATATTTTGATAAGCAGCAGTACCAGCTTTCATTTGTAACACAGTTTGTGGCATTGGAAGAAAAGGATTCTGTGATTGTTGAAGTGAATTATGTTATAAATGCAAAGAGAAGATAAAATATTAAAAAACATATTTTCTAAATGCGAAGTGCATGGTTAATTCAAGCTTCTGTACACTACAATATAATCCATTTTTGTTCAGTTTGTATATTTGCTGACTATTACTTGGTATCTCTAATCTCTTTTCCTAACAAGTATAGCATTGTAGCATGCCTTTTAATAAATGTCATGACATCTGTACGCTCTTAAAATTTTTCTGTGTTCTTGTCTGTGCTTTGGGTTTCCCTTTGTCTTACCTGTAATTCTAATGATGTCACATTTTCTTTTCTTTTTCATAGCCATCCATCTAAACTTGTCCTAGTTACAGAATAGCAAGCAAATACAACTTTAAAAACTGAAAACATCCTCAGTCCACTAATCACCTCTCTTAATTAAGGAACAGTTCTCATTTGAACAGCAAAGTGCTTTTCTAATCACCCTTTTTAATGCAGCCTCTGGCACTCCCCTTTAGTACAAGTACACATTTGCGCTCTCTCTCTCTCTCTGCCCCCCCCCCCTCACACACACACACAGACGCACGCACGCACGCACGCAGTGCCAAATGAGTCCGAACATTTTTTCTGGTTTAGTTTTTGGATTTCCTATAGGATTGCTGTATATAAATTCTGAGACATGAGGAGTGATCTCAAAGTAAATTTCTGCCTTCTTTAATTAAAGGGTAACAACACAGTTACCAGCTGCCTGTACATTGCTCTTCCTTCAGCAAAGGTTTTATTTCTAGGTTCTTTAAAGAATTCATTGGATTGTAGAAGTCTAAGCAACATTTTTTTTTTAACCAGGCCAAAAAAGAAAAAAAAGTCATTTATATTAATCTTTTTACTCTAGGATCTTCTGGAAGTGGGAATCTATTTTTAATAGACTACAAAATTAAGTAACCATTACTGATCTTTGCTAGCTTACCTTTAAAATCTATTGTCTCTATAAATGTAATAAGATTTTTTTTTAAGCACGAGAGGCATTTTTATCAGGAAAGGATAAAATAACCCTATGACCATATAAGGTTTTATAAAATTGTTTGGCCATGAAATGCTTACTTATACAGTGGAATGCTCTGTTTTGATCTAAGAGACTATCTAGTTCAGTTTCCACTTTTTAAAGGTAAGTTGCAAAGAAAAGGAAGTGACTTGCCCAAAGCCTCATGCTAGTTATTTGCAGAGTCTAGACTAGAGTCCATATCTCCTTGACATTTATCAAGTACTCTCCATTGTGCCCAGGTGTTGTAGTTCTGTCCTGCTACCTTTTGTGAGGGTTTTGATTTAGAAGTCTGTACCGGAAATTGGGGTGCTTTATATATTCTTCTGAAAACTACCAAAACCAATTTAAAGGTATTGTATAAGTAGTGAGGGTGTTTCTGCTGAGAAGTAAAAATGCTTACCCACTTCTGAAATTTTTGAACTAAAAATGTAATTTCAAATTGCACACTTAAGACACTAACTCTTGAAGAATGTAATTACTATTTATATTAGCTTGTTAGGGCTGACAAAGTACCGCAGACTAGGTAGCTTAGATAAATTAATTTTCTTACAGTTCTGCAGGTTAGAAGTCTAAGATCAAAATGTCAGCAGGTTTATTTCTTTTAAGGCCTCTTCCTTTGACATATAAATGGCCATCTTCTCCTGTGCCTTCACGTGGTCTTTTCTCTGTGTGTGTCTGTGTCCTAATCTCTTTTTATAAGGACACTGGTCATACTGGATTAGGGCCCACTCGTCTGAACTTATTTTACCCTCATCAACCTCTTTAAAGACCCTGTCTTCAAATAGTCACATTCTGGGACACTGGGGTTTAGGACTTCTACATGAGAATTTGGGGGAGACACAATTTACCTCATTATCATTAATACTATTTAATAAAAGTTGTTCACTTAGGTCATCAAGTACTGACGGCCCCAGCAACTGAGCTAGGTGCTGGGGAGGATAGAGTTAAAGTCATGGTGGCTTGCCTTTTCAAAATGTGTTATCTAGTGGGAATGTCAGCCTAAATCCATAAATCAGATAGCTTTGAACTCTTGCCTTCAAGAGGAAGCCCCCAGAATGGATCATGAGGCCTCTCTCTAGGCAATTTTCTAGCCAAAATAAATGTGGTTAAAGCTATCCTACTGTTAATTTATTAATGTATAGGAACACATACCCTGCAATAATTGTCTCCACTCTTAGACATAAGCCATTTCAAAACTGATCATTCCTAAGACGTATGCCATTACTTGAACAGTTGCAGAAATAATCAAATTAAGAGGACAATATCAGACAAGCTGTGCCCAATTTTCAATGCCCAGCATTTGTTGATAATTGAACTGTGATGCTAGAATAGTTTAAAAAACGTTAAACCCATTCTGTTTACAATTTGTGTGATTGTTCCTACATCAACTATTTTTTTCTGTTGTCCTATTTCAAGTTCTAGTGGAAATTTGTCACTGTGTTTCTATGAAAACAATTTATACTGATAAAATTCTAATAATTTTGTTGGAAATACTGCATTCATCAAACCATTGGGCATGGATGTGGAACTCCCACCTCTGCTAGTATACAGTATAATTAACCAAGAAAAATTAATGATTTTAATATTCCATGAAGATTCATGTATTTATTTTATTCCTGTTCTAAGATTATAGACAAGAGTATCAGGAAAAATTCACTGTTTTCTGTTGGAGTAAATTGCCCTTAGATTACGTAAGCACCTTTATCCTTGTTTCTGTGCCTAAGATTGTCTCTTAAGTCTTGATCCCACAGAATTCAAATGTCAAATTCTAACCTGCTAAGGTATTATCTTTAAGCAAATGAAAGTTGGTATTAGTTACATTAATGTTTGACAAGTACACTTTAGGGCAATAGAACTATTAGAGATAAAGAGATTTCATGATGATATGTTTATATAATGAAATAATTTATAGTTACACAAGTGGACACAAAGAAGCCACATAGAAGAATCTCACAGGTGATGTTTAACAAAGGAAGCCATACATAATGTAGAATTTTATTTACACCAATTCAAATACAGGATAGTGGTTACCTTTGGAAAGGAGGTAATTGAGATTTATGAGGAGAGGTTTCTGGTGTGTGGTTAATATTTAATTTTTTAACCTTTGTACCAGTTATCCAGCAGTGTTTACTTTTGGATAATTCACTGAGTTTATACACTTTGGATTTGTGCATTTGTGTGGTACACTTCAATTAAAAGGATTTTGAAAACTGATTATAATTGAGCAAGGATCTATAAACAATTCTTAAATCAGATGATGATTCTATGGACTAGAATAAATAAGTACTGATACAAAGTACTCAGGATACCATGGACCTGAGTTTCACAATGAAACTCCCCCACATATGTATGTATTGCATTTTTCTGACCATGTAACACCTATAAGAAAAAATGTTTCCCTGACAGAACAAAAAATACAAACCATGTTTTCAAGTGAATTTTACATTTTTGAACAGTTTTAAACTCAGCTAAAATCAGAAAATATTTCATTAATACTGTCTAGTTTTGTTTTTGTAACTGTAAGCCTGATCTGGTGGGCTATTTGTCTAACTCCTTATATGTCCATCAAAAGATGCCCGAAAGACCTACCTAGCTCTCTGGAATCTTAAGAGGAGACTATACAAAAGGTTTAGCAAAAGTTTGGGTCATAAAGATTCTTAAATATATACAAATTAGTATAGTCTGATGAACCCCCATGTACCGAATACCCAATTGCAACTAATAGCCAATCTTGTTTCATCTATCCTACACTCCACTCCCTGGATTATTTTGAAACAAATCCCAGTCATCATGTAATTGCATCTATAAACATTTCAGTTATAAAATCCATAAGATTGCATTTGTTAAGTCTTTTAATATATAGCTTCCCTGTCCATCTTTTTTTTTCTTTCCTTGCAGCTTATTTGTTGAAGAAACCGACCTATTTTCTTTGTAAAAATTCTAACGGTCTGGATTTTGCAAATTATGTTCCCATGATATTTTTGTAATATGTATCCCCCACCTCAAATTTTGTGTACATTGAGAGCTGCTTCTTAACTCCAACGTGGCATCCCTCTTTTTTCTTTTTGCAAGAATACTTAAGATAGAATTGAGCACTTAACATAATGTGTCTTCTTTGGTGATCATTGTTAGACCCCTTAGTTTTCAGGGATTGCAAAATGGTGGCATTCTGTCGTTCGTTTTGCATGTATTATTTTGATGGCTTTTATATAATAAGAGAAACTTCCCAATAACTGGTTATTCTGAAGTAAAGCTTCTATAGGAAAGACAGGATACACACTTCATTCTTTCCCTTAACTGTTCTCAAAATAATTTTTTGTGTCCTCCAAAAACTTTTGCCTTCATTTTGTTTTTGCCTGTGTTTTTGTGGAGAGTTTCCAACTTTAGTATGGCCTCGTTTAATCTTAATTACCTCTTTAGAGGACCCACTTCCAAATACTTATATTGGAAGTTAGGGCTTCAACATACTGATTTGGGGGCCACAGTTCAGTCCCTAGCACTTAGTGCTTTGGTTCCCTCTATAAAATAAGGATGATAATACAGATGACCTTGAACAACATGGGGGAGATGAAGGGTCACCTGCCCCTGTGAGGTGGAAAACCTGAGTATAACCTGTTTCCCCCAAAACTTTACTAATAGCCTACTGTTGATAAGAAGTCTTATCAATAGCATAAACAGTACCTATTGTGTGTGTAGTATGTGTTATATACTGTATTCTTACAATAGAGTAAGCTAAAGAAAATTTTTTGCCATATTATTACAAATCTCCAAGAATTTTTCCAATCTCTTTATTGGAAAGAAATACATATATAAGTGGACTTGCACAAATCAAATCCATGTTGTTCAAAGGTTAATATTTTTCTTAGAGTATGGAGGAATAAATGAGTTGCTATATATATAGTACTTAGAATAGTGCCTGCACATAATAGATGTTACCCAAAAGTTACTTTATTATTACTATGTTACCTATTATTGGGCAGTCATCTAAAAATCCAGATTCTCAAGTCATATGCTTGACCTTTTCCTATAAGGAAAGTGATCCAGAAGTTCTAAATTTTCTTCTAGTGAATAGATACTTCCTCTTTACCAAAAACCCCAAGGACGTAGCTCTAATACAGGGATGAAGTCAAAAAATCTAGTGGCCTTGGGGAGAAAGATTGCTTTGTACCTACATGACTGTCTCGAGCAAACTGTCTTACTGGTGTTTGGAAGAAGTCA